TCTGATGAATATTTTGTCTAACTAACAGAAAAACATCCAAAGTACATTATTTTTAGTATTTAACTAAATTAATATATCAATTTTTAAGGATCCTACTTTTTTAAAAGCTTGCCTTTTGTCAGATCCACAATTGCTCTATTCTCCATGCTGATTATTTTGTATAACTCCACCAAAAAATCTATATATATTACAATATTTTTTTTATTCAATTAAAATTATATATTTATTCTTAAGGATCCTACCTTTTTAACAATACTCCTTTTTATTCTTACTAATTTTTTTGTAAAACTCAATAAAAAAGAGGATTTTACATTTATTCCAAAACAAAATACATACTATGGTATTTATATTATTTAAATTATTCTATATCTATTCACAAGGTTCCTATTTTTTTTAATTGCCAATTGGACTCTCCGAATGGTATTTTATTTTAATCCTACTTGTTTTGTTTTTTACTTTAGTTAACTATCCCCATCTTATTTCCTCTTTATAATTGTTCGAATATTGATATATCAGTCATTAATAATGAACAAATGCAAAATAAACCTTTAGAAGAACATGATAGGTTTGATAAGTCCAAAAAAAATTTTTTAATTATAGCTCCCCAACTACTAGAAATATACTTCTAATATTGACTTCTCTACAGGTTATTAATGTTTGTTTAATTTCAACAATAGTTTATTTATATTTGTAGCTGATTTCTTTATTTGTCTAGGCTAACCCAATCTTAATCCCTCACATTGTTATTACAAAACATGATGAATCTATTATTAAAGATAAGCAAAGAAAAAAATGCCGATTCAACAAACGCCTTACCCGTACTAGAGTTACTGGTGGCCAAGATAATAAGGAACTGTTAACTCCTCTGGAGGTTTATTTTGTTTTTTATCTAATGTTTTATATCTATATGTTTATTTTATATTCACCCAGTTGCCTCCAAATGATATTTCTATCACCACTACCACAATCCCTATGCCACCTCTGCCTAATTTTTAACAAATATAAGCATTTAATTCCACTCATTCACCTCACTAGGAGTTAATATAAATAATACTTTATCCGATTCTCTGAGGAACTTTCATGAATATTTAGAGGTATGTTCAAACGTGAATGTGTAGTGCGGTCAATTTCATTTACATTATTAATGGGAAAATATGCGGTAGTTTTGTCATGGCCTTTATAACAATACTTACGACTGTTTTATGGTTGAGTTGACAATTTCGTTCATGATTCTATTTTAAGGGGGGGGGGGGTGAATACCAAAACTAACACTTTAGCAGAAATATCATTTTGCGTTCTTCTTTTACCAGTAGCCCAAGGCCTCAGCTTTATCAGGGCGCAATGGGTGTTGTCACTGCTTTGGTAATCCGTCATTATTTATTACTTCTACCTACAACCCTAAATGGGATGATATTATACATTATTTCCTCTGCAGACGACTGCCCAGATTTATTTTGTCGCTTTTTCCATCAAAAATTAAAATGTCATAAAGGATTTGCTCTTAATTTTATCAGACACACAAAATAATAATTAATCCTCATCATTTTTTTAAAAAATTACCTAAATTTATATGGCAAGAAAAACAAATTTCTTAAAAAATATATAAATAAATTGCATATAAGTTTCATTGGTATTGAATGACATTTTTGTAATTTAAATAGATAGCATTTTTTTGTACTTAACATAAAGATATAGATAGCCCTTATCAAATTTTTTGATAAAAGGAGTTAACCCACTAATTGGTAAATCCGAGATTTCCCCTACATGCGATGATAAATTATTTAGAAATTTAACTATCTCCGGGTTTGGGAAAAAGTTTTGAAAATTAATATGGGTTGGACTGGGCTTGGAAAATATTCCTCAAGATTTATATTTGCTTGCATCTGACTTGGGAATATCTTTTACAAATTATTATGGGCCGGGCTAGGAAAAAATTTTCAAAATTATTATGGGTTGAGCTAGGCTTGGGAAATTTTTTAAAAATTATAAGGTCTTGGACGCTTGGAAATTTTTTCCAAATATTATGAGCTTGGACCTGGCTTAAAATTTTTTAATGTTAAATGTTAGTCATATGTAATCAGTAATATATTTACAAAGAATTTTGATATTGGGTAAAAGCTCATTTAAATATATTTTGACTCAAAAAATAGTTTCCACTCTTAGTCCTAATAAGTTGGACTCAATGACATTGGTTGGACTTGACCTAAATGGGGAGGGGAGGGGGGTTTAAAAATAATATAAATTGGATAAGATTTTTAAATAAAAGGTAACATCTTTTTTAAAAAAACGAATAAAATTCTCATTCTCCGTCATTTTTGACGGGCTATCTACTAGTTTACATAACAATTTTAGTCAATATTTTTCAAAAAAATGATATGGATATTTGGTTGAGGTTATGAGAATCGCAATATTTTTATATTACAACTTAGAAAACCAAGAGATAATATCGACCAAGAATTTTATGAGATTTCTATGATTGGTGAGGCGAAAGCAAAATTATATGATTTTGAAATTCGCAAGCTTCGACTTGCACCTAGACATAGTGTTGTTTAAAAGCCCGATCTGGGTCAATTTTTCAAAAGAGCCCGTTTAAGATTTTAGCTAAAATAATATTATGTAAGCATCAGATATTTGGCAAATAGATGTCCAAGCATTTCTGCCAGCCATCAGCAAAATCTTTAGGTTTATATTTTGGTTACAATCTTAATCGGGCCTTTTTTTTTAAATCGACCCAAATTAGGCTTTTTTACAACACTACCTAGACAAATAAATCGTTCCAGTATTAATGTAAACTCAATTGTGTATTACTATAAAATACCGGTTAATATTCCACTATCCGTTCTAAGGCTCTTAATTGTTAAAATTAAAGTACAAATAATTTTTATCGTAGATATTGTATATCTGCAGATTATAAATATTTTAAAATATTAAATGTTAAAATTTTATCGAAAATAAAGACACAATATATAAGAAAGTTCGGTTGTTAAGGCTATTGTTGTGTTTTAACAATATCCCCATGTGTCACCTTTTGTAAATAAATGATTATAGTTATAAACGCTCGTTTAACTGTTGAATATTGCTATTATAGAAATATATTGGTAGAATTTTTATTACACATTTATAAACAAAAAGAATTATAACTGAGGAAAGCCTTTCACAAGCAGTTGATGTACCTGTTCACATCACCTGTAATATTGACTGGCTATCAATAGATATGGCAAATGATTACATTTTTTTAAAAAACATATCAATGATTATTGGGAATCATCTTATTTGAATATATGATTAGTATACGAATTTCGAATTATTTATTCTAATCAAATTATTGTTTATTCGTATTCGAACAACGAATACTTGTTTGATTCGTTTTTGGTGCAATAAGAATAAAATAAAAGGTTAGCTGCATTCGATTTTAGCATTTCAAAAAATAGGCGTGTCTTTACATAATTCGAATCGTTTTAATGAAAAAGAATTTGAACTGAGTTTTAAAATTAAATTGAACCTATTGATCTAACTATTTTTATGAACCGGACCTCAAATCTTTATTTCTATCCCAATCAAGCTGATATTCGCTATGATTAGAATCTCTACTAACATCAGCAAGGCCCATGAAGGTTTATTGGTTTAAAAATTATTTTAGGCAGGTTGCCCGGCCCTATCTCATCCGTATTATTTTTAAAGGGGGTTTCGAATAGATTATTTTATATAATAAATATAATTTATTAAAACAGGAGGGACACACTACACTAAATTCAATCAAACCTGTCTAAGATTCCTGATAATTCGAGCAACTACTTAGATTGACCTAATTTTTAAGTCCCAATCAAAACTTTTAAAAAATGCCATGATAAATTAGGCAACTATATACTTAGTGAAATGAGCAGATTTTTAATTAATAAAGAAAATAAATATAACGAGTTGTCGATAATTAAAAAATTTAGGTTATTAAATTTATAAATACCACTCAAAGATAATGTGCTAAAATGTTTAATAATTCTAAAGGAAGTGTTCATAAATTCATAAATCTAAAGACATTATCAAACACCTTGCATATAAAAATATTGTACCAAATAAATAAACAAAGATAAAATATCCTGCTTTATTTTATAAATTAATTATATATTATTCATATTTATTTTGTATTCAACCATTTTATAATAATTGTATATAATTTTTTGAGCGGTTTCTAAAATTTAATTTTACAGGAAATATATGCCATCATGTTTGGTTTGGAATATCTAGCCTATGATTTTCAAACAATTTTCCCATAAACTTTTGAATTTAATATAATTTATGTATAAATTATAAATGAGTCAAAGGTTAACGGCAAAATTGTCTAAAATTCATAAAATAAGTACTAAACATGCAGGAATACATTTCCCGCAACATTAGATTTTAAAAAATGTGCTCAAAAAATGATTTAAAGTTGAAAAAATACAATACCGCTAACATGTACATCCTATTTTGCATAAATTTCATTGTAAATCAAATTTTGATGAATTACTAAAAATAAAAAATTATTTAAAAATTGTTGAACATATAATATCACTATTTGAGAATTTAACTGACCATAAAATGCATTTTTTTTATAAAAAATTTTTATAATTTGGCAACTCTCTTTTGTTAAGTTATTAATATAATAGATCCAAATTGTTTTTTTTACAAAAGTAAAAAGTCGTCATAACGGTGCCCATATTAGACAGGTTTGACTTATGTCAAATTCAAGTTTACTTCTTAAGACAGATAAATGTAATATAAAGCAATCAATAAGACGCATACAAACTTTACATTGATTAATGATCGTTTTTCTGATCAAATTAGTTTGATATTTTTTGAAAAACTTTCGTAAATTGTAAGATCTCTGGAACTCAAAATTTAAAAAAAAACGAAAAGTGGGAAGGATACAAAATAGATATACCCTTGTATCCATCAATTCTTGTTTAATAATGTAAATATACATATAAAATTCTGAAAAATATTCAAGGTTTATATCCATTTTTTATATTCGTTGGCGTTTATAAAAATTATAATAAAAAAATTGATACCAACAATTAATAAACAATAACCATTCACATAAAATATTGATCACATCAAAAATTGAAATTGTGGCACAATGAAAAAATTTCACAATTATAATTATTATTTGGGTATCAAAAAATACAGCCGGGTATTATATATTATATAAAGGTCTAGGTGGAGGATATTCAAGAGGAGGCAACTGATTCTCGTAATTGTCTCCTGCATAAACCCTGTCAAAATTTCCATCTATCCTAAAATTAAAGAGACAATATGGACCTACGCTATTAATTTCAACTAGATTAGTTATTCCCAAATCGGCAAAATTAAGATCACCAAGTTCGGGCTCTTCCGATACGAATTCGTATTCCAGGGCTTCGGGTGTTATGAAAGGAGGGACAAAAAATTTAATACGCGGTAGCTTAGTCTTTATTATTTTTAATTGTGGAATAACATTTGTGATTATTCATATAAGCAAAAAAAAAGTGAAATGAGTTAAAATAAAAATGTAGAGAAACAAGAGACTAGCTCATAAAATCATAATTCATATTACTGTAAACATTTCTAAAAAAAGGAGTTCACCTTCATCATTCAAAACTTTGCAAATAAATTTTCTTTTAAATTTTTATTTAATATAAATAAATACCATATATTTTTTAACACAATATATAATCAATGTTTAAAATTAATATTTTTATTATTAAAAAAAATTCTTATTAATTTTTAAAATATATAAATTTATAATATTTAAAATCGTTCTCAACTATTAAAATATAAAACACTTGATAAAAACTTAAAAATAATAAAGAAATCAAATAATCACACTAAAAATAAATAAATTCTAAAAGATATTAACTATTTTATCGATATATTATATTTTTACTATATTTATAATTAGTGATGCAAAATCGCTCAATTTAAGCCGATTAAAAACGGCTAACTCGGTATTTTATCTAGAAAAATATTACTAAATCCTGAAGATTTTGCTTATAGATGGTACAAAAGTTTAGACATATATTAGCGATTTCTCGAGGCTCAGGCAATACTTTTCTGACTAAAATATTGAGTTAGCCGTTCGGCTCAGATGGAGCGATTTTACAAAGCATATGAAATACAACAATCTAAAATAAATTATTAATAGGATACTTAAAATTAAGAACTTAAAGATAAAACTGATATTATACTTTTTGGACCTATTTTACATTTGACAAAGATAGTTATTTATATATGATGTTATAAAGTATATTTATTATATTCAGGCCATGGTAATCTTAATCCATCCTATTCTGAATTTTCAGAATCAGATGATGAAATAACAACATCCATGCATTAATCTATAAATATTAATGTTTAAATTAATAAGTATACTATAGGACAGAAATAGTGGCTGGTTAAAAAAAATTCAAATGTGATAAAGAAAACAGCTTATTAAAAAAAACCTCTTTTTAAAAAAATTTGGAATTAATATTTATTATTTTCTGAAATACAAATAAGAAGATTTTTTAAAATTGAACGAATGTAAAAAAAGAAAGCGTTAGTCAAAAAAAAACGCGTTCACGTTCAAAGTTCGTCAAAAAAAAAGGAACGTCGTTCATTATTTTTTATAAAAAGAGAAATTCATTCTGCATTCATGAACGCGACAACATTAATAATTCATAATTTATTATTATTTTTTGGTTAAATATTCTTTGAATCTAATTTGTAGAGTATTTTAAATAAAACATTAATTTTAATTTATATGTTCCAAAATATATGTAAATTCAATACGATATTAAAAACCGGTACACTACTAAAAATTTCGTCATATAAATAGGTCAGAACACCCGTCCAGTTAACTACATACTAGGAATCCCAATAAATTACAAGGACAAGATCCACCATACCGAAAAACAAGTATTTAGATTAGGTAAATTTCTACCTTCCGGTATACTCTTTCCTACCAAAACTTATCAATAACAATATAGATGGACTGCTGGATTGCCACTTTTATTAAAGCATGCTCAGTCTGTTCACATCATATTACGCCACAGTGAATAATATTTAGATTAGGTAAATTTCTAACTTCCGGTATACTCTTTCCTACCAAAACTTATCAATAACAATATAGATGGACTGCTGGATTACCACTTTTATTAATGCATGCTCAGGCTGTTCACATCATATTACGCCACAGTGAATAATAAAAGCCTCAACTCTCGCGTGGGCACTTATCCAAAAGAAAAAATCATCAGCCATTACTTGCAATATCCCCCTAATAGATCTCAAACCGCTTGACAATATATAGTACATACTGACAAATCCAACCAATACCTGGGTATATCATTTTGGAATATCTGGAAACAAAGTTGTCGTTTCTTTGCCAATGCCAAATACCTATTAACCAGGGGTGTACCGATACCATGATCCGATATTCCAGATATTAAATTGATATCGGCCGAATACCGATATGATATCATTTCTAATTTGGTATTCTGTAAAGATACCAATGGTTTTAATTTTTAATATACTTTTTATTAGTATAACATTTATAATTTTACTATATATATTATAATGATCAGTTATAGTTTATATTCATTTCAATTGCAATTCTAAAAGTATATAAAATATTTTTATTGATAAATTACTTATACATAATAAGTAATAACAAATATATTATTTAATTTGAAATTAATATTTAAAATTAATATATCTAAGATTTCTTTTTAAAAATACCAAAATTTTCATTTTATCAGAGATCAGTCTGCGGTGATGGGGACTGTCAATATCACTAGCATCACTAAAAACAGATTCTGAAGAGTTAATTGCACACTTTTTTAAACAGAATGCGAAAAAAATAACTATATGGCAGAATGTTTATTAACTAATTATTATTATTAAAAAAATTAATTTTATATATATAATTTTTTTTTAAATTTTATATTTTATTTTTGTTAAAAGCGCCATTTTATAGGATCGGATCGGAAAATTTTAAAAATATTTGCCGATAACCGATATTTTAAAATGGGTGAAATATCGGCCCGATCCGATATAAAATATCGGTACATCCCTACTATTAACCAACCTCTCATTAATTCTTGGGGTGTTATAATGAAAAAATGTTCCAAGCCCGTAATTTTTACCTCTAATCAGAGGTAACCAATTCTCTGAAATATTTTTTATTTAGCTCTTTTAAGAAAAAATTTTTCAAATAATTTTAAGCAGCAACGCTACATTTAAAATAGTGGCAATAGCATGCATTTTTTTTGAAAAGTAGCTAATAGTAGCGAAGCTAGTTTTCAAAGATAGCGTTAATAGCCTTAATATATATATATATATATATATCATTAACATTCACACTATATTTTTATACGAAGAAATTGTATTATCAACTTATTTAATTAAAAGATCATAATTTATAAAACATGTGTGGAGGTAAATAAATAACCTTGATCCAAATCATGAGATCCAACTCAGTACGAGTGTATCCCGATACTTCAGGTTCAAGGTGAATTAGCTGATGCATCCAATCGCATAGCTCCGCTAGAGTGTAAGCCTGTGGGCCCGTCAGATGGAAGCGTTTGCCTACAACGATTTCGCGTGGTGTTAGTGGGGAAGCTATACGCGCGATAGCTCGAGCTAAATCAAACACGTAAAGTGGGGACTTGATAGTAGCCTCCCCGCGCCGCCAAAGCGGAAGTAAAACACGTCCACTACGTCGTTTTGCGTTTGCATACAGGGAAAAAAATCTATCACCAAAACCGAAAAGTGTCGAAGGCTTTAGAATGATGGCACCTTCGGGAAACTCATTCAAAACAGCTTCCTCGCCCAATGCTTTAGTTTTAAGAATTCTATGAGAGGCCGGCGAAGACAGAAGAGAGGGACCGAGAGGGTCAGAACGGGCTGCGATGTGGCTTACGTGTATAAACTTATTTACTCCACACTCCCGGGCTATACGAGCCAAGCGACGTGGGATTTCGATGTGGGTCTCTTCAAAGGAATAATTATTAGTCTCAAAAAGAGTACCTTACATGAATGAAATCAAAAAATTTATTTATAACATATTTTGAATATATAAATTTTATTTGGAATTAGATATTTAGTCAATTGTAATATTTTAGAATGTTTTACTTCATTAACATCCTTGAGTGGTAAGATGGGAAAAAATAACGCGAGTGGTGGGGTTGGACATAGCTAACTCCCATTTTTAAATTGATATCTTACTAAATTTTTATATTAGGCTTTATTTTAAACATTTACCTAAAACCAGGCCCGGCCTGGAACCCGGGTTTAGAATGGTATAATTATTAAAATCCAGTCAAATCTTTACAAATTTATTATGAAATTGTAGAATTTCCAACCCCACTGAAAAATTATCGAAAATAAAAAGTGTTTTTAATATACTTTTTATTAGCATAACATCTATAATTTAACTGTACCATAACTTATGTCATTTAAATATATTATAATGATCAGTTATATTTTATATTCAATTCAATTGCAATTCTAAAAGTATATAAAATATTTTTATAGTTAAATCACTTTTATATAACATTAATCTATATGCATAATTAAGTAATAAACAAATATATTATGAAATTTAAAATAATATTTAACATTAATATATCGAAGATTTCTTTTTAGAAATACCAAAATTTCCAATTTATAGAGGTCAGCCTGCGGCGATGTTAACTGTCAATATCACCAGCTTCACTAAAAACAGATTCTGAAGAGATTATCGCACACTTTTATAAACAGAATGCGCAAAAAAATAACAATATGGCAGAATGTTCATTAATTAATTATTATCATTAAAAAAATCTACAAAAAATGGATTTCGATTTTATTTATAAAAATAAATTATTAGATTAGAGATCTGCATTGGGCGGGGTTTCGGCCCGCCCACCCATACCCGCCTATCAATGTGGGCGGGCGGATGGGCTTGCAAAAATTTTTTGAGAAAGGGCGGGTTAAAAAAAATTGAAACTATGGGCGGGGTGGGCGGGCGGGTTAAGAAATTTAAACAATGGGAGGGCGGGTTAAGGAAATTTAAAATTTTTGTTCAAAAACAAACTAAAATAAATAATTGTTTATGTTTAATGATCTATAACAATATTTCTTTTTTTATTGTACATCGTTTTTTTTAAGTGAAGAACATTTACCTAACTATATTATGTAATAAACACAACAATAAAACTTTTTTTTTAGAATAAATAAACATTCTTGTCTATTAAAAATTTCCTTTTATGGGAATGTAATAAAACTTTTATAGTGCTTCTTCCGAACGCGGATTTAGCATTGCTGGAAGATTTTTAGAACAAAGAAGAACGTGTTTGAATCCAGAAAATGTCGATTCATTATTATTTTTACATTATAATTACATATAATTAATTTTACAATTATATTTTTTTCATAAATATTCAATTTGATCAAATAAACTATCCATAATTTACATTGATTATTTTTATACTTATATTAATTTCCTAAATTATAAACTTTTTGTAGAGGTGTAATGCTGAAATATTTTTATTAGTTGCTTAAAAAAAATGAAAGAATGACCATAATTAAATTTTATAAGCGGGCTTGGGTTAAAAATTTTAGACTAATGTGCGGGCGGGGGGAGGGGGGTAAGGAATTTTAGACAAATGGTATTTTTTGAAAACTATATGCGGGCTGGACGGGCGGATTAAATTTTTTGAAAACATTGGATGGGCGGGCTTTTGGTCCAAAAACCTGCCCAATGCAGACTTCTAGATTAGATATAACTTTTTTTTAAATTTTATAGCATTTTATTTTTGTTAAAGACGCCATTTTATTTCGGATCGGAAAATTTTATAATATTGGCCGATAACCGATATTTTAAAATAGGTGAAATATAGGTACATCCCTTCTTAGGGGTAATGGCATACCGATACCACTTTTTGGAAGACGATCCGATACTAAAATTGATATTGGTTGATTACCGATCTAATATCAAATCTGATTTTGTATTCTGTAATACTAATCGTTTTAACTTTTAAAGCATATATTTAGTGTTGCAAAATCGCTCCATTTGAGGAGATTTTTAAAAAACGGTTAACTCAGTATTTGTCCAGAAAGATATTACGCAAGCCTGAAGGTTTTGCTCATAGGTCAAAGTTTTGGATATCTATTAGAGAAATCTCGAGTCATAGGCAATATTTTTCTGCCTAAATTGAGTTAGCTGGCTCAAATGGAGCAATTTTATATCACTACATACATATACTCATCTCATACTTATAAAAATTATACATCTATAATTTAACTATAGTAACATAAGTCATATATTATAATGATCAGTTATAGTTTAAATTCATCAATTAAAAAGTATATAAAATATTTTTATTGATAAATCATTTATTTTTTATTTAATAATAATAACATTGATCTATTAACATAATAAGAAATAAATATATTATGAAATTTGAAGTAAATTTAAAAAAAATTAAGACACTATTTTATTGGATCAGAAAATTTGATGACTGATATTTTAAAAAAAGTGAAATATAGGTCTGATCCAATAAAAAATATCATTATTTCCATACTTAGGGTGGTGAAATCCCTGATAAAAGATGCTACTGAAAAGAAATTTAAGGTAGATGTGGCTCTTACTTAAAATCTTAACCGTAAAGGATAAATATGTGCTTGACGTTAATGGAATGGCATAACAATGTAGCTATAAAATTATTATGTAGAAGATTTAATAGAAAAGGAAGGTGACAATATATATCTCAATAGAGACTGTGAAAATTTATGAATTATTTTCTATACACTTTGAAATTTTATGAGGTATATATCAAATGATTGTTTGGTAAAGTTTCTTGGAGAATTTAGTAGAAAGTAAAGTTAGATAATTTATATTATTAAGACAGTTTGTGAAAGTGACAACTACACAATTACTGACATGGGCTGAAGGTGGGGAATGGTTTATACAAAGGAAATTATGATGAGATAATCAGTGAAATTTAGTATGGATTTAGAGCAGGAAGATTAATAAATGGTGATGTTTGAAGAGTAAGATATGAGAATGCTAAGATGCATATTAGAGTGAATTATAAATAAGACCATATTAAAGTTTAACTCTACACATTATTAAAATAAATAAATTGTTGAATTAATTTTATAATCATAAAAAAATCATAATTTTATTATATTTAAAAATATTTAGTCTATACTGATAAGCAGTTGCAGTAAATTATATATACATTCAAGTTAAAAATTGTCCAAAAGATAGAAGACATAAAAAATATTTAGGTATCTTTATTGAAGGTATATAAAATAATTTTTCTATATATTTAATGGTACCTATTAAATTTACAACAACATTAGAGTATTTCATAGCCTTATAAAGATTTGATTCATCAACATCATTAGGTTGATAATGACAATATAAAATTTGTCCCAAATCACCATAAATTTTCAGTCTATCACTCCAGTTAAAATCACAACGATGTGCTATAATCATTTGTGTGCCTTCTTTGCCTAAAATATATAATATAAAAGATCATAAATACGAGATCAAATAACTTTTTTAGATGTTTGCATAAGTATTTTAAAATATCCAAAAAATATAAAACAAGATTATTGGGAATAAGGATAAAATAAAATTTTAATAAGTATCTTGATAGATACTTGCTTATCTCTGGAGTAAACAATTGTCTAGGTAGAATTCTAATAATTCAAAATTAAGTGGGGCCTAGCGTAAATAATTTGGGTCGGAATGTACTGGAGCTATATAAAAAATTTTTAAGCTTTTTTAATGTGAAACTAAAGTAAAATTTCTTGGGATTTGGACAAATCTTGTAATATTAATTTATTAAATTTTATAAAAATGTGTTCATTTTAAATTATTCAAAAAAAAATTTTGCCTTCCCTGAAATGGAAAATTAAGGCCAGGCTCAGGTCAAAAATAAAAATTTTGGAGCAGGTTTAAAAATTAATAAGGATACTTTGTAAGATAAAAATTTTGCCAGATTCAAGCCAAAAAAATTGAATTTTCAGGGCTCTATATCTAGGTGATAGGTAAATGAATGTTATAATTCAATTAAGTATATTTTGTTATGTAGGTAATTTTTTAAATGCAGTTTAAAATGGTTTTATATTATAGATATTTTTTTTAAATATGTATTTGGAAACATTAAAAGGTCTTTTAAAAAAATGAATATGGTGGCATGTAATTTTTTCAGTGTATTTCATTTGGGTAGAATCAAAAATTAATATTAAAGATAATTAACTTGACATTGTGGTATAATGTTAATTTTATATAAGTAAATGACCAAAAAGAGAATATCACAAAGTTGCTATCTAATATTAGCCAATAAAATGATTTCAAATTACTTCACTCTACCTTGTTGTCCAAGTAGCATTAATTTAATAAAATTAAGATTGGCTATTTTTTTAACAAACCTAATTTAGGCTTTTTATATAAATAAATTTTTTATTCAGTCAGTTTAATAAATATTTATTATTACCCAAAACATTTACAAGCGTTTCTCCTACAAAGCCATTGGGACCAAATACTGTAGCAACAACTCCATTAAATGAAGATCGTCCACCCGCACCACGTTTATAAGAACTCAATGCATCAGGAGTAAAATACCTTTTTATTCCAACATTAAACGATTGTAAAGATTTTGGAAAATCTGTGTTATAATATCTTTCATATTGTATTTAGGAAAAATTTGTTACTTATTTCTTTGAATATATGAAGCATTACATTACAAAGGCTGAGTTTAGAAAACTTTACCAAATTTAAAATGGCCACCAATATTTACGAAGTGATAAATAAATTCGGACTATTGCAGACAAACACAAAAAATAAAATTTATATTATCATGATGACTGCATGTATTTCACATATTGTTAAAGGATCGAATCAAAAGATCACCGATCCTGAATTCGATCCTAAATTTGCCAATTTTCTCGGATTTAAGATTCTAACCTTAAATTGTAGATCGTGATCAGATCATTTTTTTAAATATTCGATCCCGAACCTTATATAAATTATTTTTTTTTACTTAAAAAGTAATAAATAAAATAAAAATTTTGATATTTTAAAAATAATATCTATCTATCTATCATATTTTATCAACCACCATTCCACGAGATTTTATATTTCAACAATTTACCAAATTATTTTACGAACCAGTTATATTAATTAATTAATTATATTATAATATAAATAAATTCTAAATTTTAATAATGTCCTCTGTTATAGATTTAGAAGATGATACATCTATTTCTATTGTTGTAACGCAGATATAAGTGAGAATGAGAATCTTTTACGATTTCATAATTTACATAAGTATTTTACTATATGTGAAACGGATGGAAGTAACCATACAATGATCTATGCAAAATGCTCTTTATGCAAAAACAAAATAACTTCTTCAAAGATTAGCAGTTCAATCCTAAAGAGGAATTTAGAAGTAATTAATTCTTTTAAAAATACAATTTTTATTATTTGTGAAGATCAAACAATATGCATATAATAAGAATTATTTACAATAATTAATAAAATATTTATTGATGTGTTAATCTTAATTATAATAATCAGGAATTTTAATATTATTATTATTAATATTAGCCCAGTATTTTTAATGAGAGTTAAAATTAATTTTCAGTATTTAAAACCCTTCAACCACATATAAATAATATACTTAACTTAATATATTTAACAAAATTTGTGTACTTTATTAATAAGTTTTTAAATGCTAAAAAAGCCTCATTATATTCATATCATAGGAAAATATTTTCTCAAAATCTTTTGCCCATATCATCTTGGGCAGCTTTAAATGATAGACAATTTTAACTTGAATTGTTAAGATAACCTATATGACTCTTTAACCACATGTAAATAATATAAATTTGTATTGAACCATTAATTCATAAGTTTTTAAACACTCAAAAAACCTCAGTATTATTGTTAGGAAAATATTTTATCACAGCTTTTAATAATGGTAGAAGGAAATATTGTAAACTTTAATTTTTAAGATAACCTATATGATCCTTTTAACCACTTATAAATAATAATACCTTAATATAATATGTTTGACACAATTTGTTTTAAACCCTTTATTCATAAATTCTCAAATACCAAAAAAGCCTCAGTATATTCATTTCATAGGAAAATATATTCTCAAAATCTTTTGCCCTTATTATGGGTGTTAAACTATGATAATTATTTTATTATATTGGTTGTTATATAGCGCAAATTTTTATATGTCGCATTCATTTAATTAACACAATTTATATTAACTTCACTTAATAGTTTCTTTTAAATTATTTAATAGATTTTATTTATATATAAAGAATAAATTTATTGTATTTTTCAGTTAAATATTTTTAAAATATATTTATTTAATAAAAGTTTTAAAATCACTTTCTTAATTTTGTTCTTCTCCCTGCCAACCTTAACAATGGGAAGCTTTTAATAATGCTAGAAAATATGTAAACTTGGATTTTTAAGATAACCTATATGACCTTTTTAACCACTTATAAATAATATACTTTATCATATATAACAAAATTTGTTTTGAACCCTTTATCATTTTTTTTTGTTTACACAGGTGTGTTACATTCAGACTGTACATTGTTTTTTTTAATTTATATTTTAAAAAAATTTCCATCTAAAATTTAAAAAATATGATTTGATTCAGTGGAAGTTATTTTCATCCAACTCTGTTACATATATTTTTCTTTTATAAAGAGAAAGCACAGTGAATTCAAAAATGAGATTGCCAAACACTTAAATGAATTCTCTACACAAACAAATAAATCTCTACAAAAGCAAAGTGTTCCTGGTTGCAGATCCCAAAAAACCAAATTAAATTTTTATAATCTTAACATGCCATAAATATCGCAAAAAACAGTAGATAAAGTTATAATGGAGTTTATTATTGACACCTTTCAACCACTTTCACTGGTTGATGACCCTTCGTTCCAGAAAATGATTAAAACATTTTATCCAGCGACAAATGTTTCGTCAAACTCTGGGAAATATCTACTATCTACTGCCTATACAGATATGACAACAAATCTTATAAGAGATTTGTCTGCTCCTATGTATGCACCACTGCTGATTGATTGAGTGGTCATAGAAGGTATATTATATTTATATGAATTTTATAATATTTTATTTTAGGGCTTTTATTGGAGTTACTGTCCATTGGCTGGACCTAGTAACCCTCAAGAGAAAATCAGCAACTTTCACACTGAGGCGTATAATTGGAAAGCAAACATATGATGTTTTGGCTTACGAAATTATGGATATCCACAAGACTTAAAAAAATTCATAATAAGGTGGTGAAGATGGTGACCGATAATGGAACCAACTTTGTAAAGGCATTTATTTATATTTAACAAAAAGAATTATTTAAAATAAATTTTTTATTTTTCTAGAGTATTTGGAGAAAATGAAGAAAATAGTGAGGATATGGAATTAATAAATTTGGATGACATATTATCTATTGATGACTCAAATAATCCTACTATCAGCCTACCAAAACATACAGGTTGTTGTTGCCATAATCTGAACCTTATTGCAACCAAAGATGTTGAGAAAACAAAAAATGATATTAATTATAAGCGAATATCAAGAACAACATTTGCTAAATGTTTTGCCTTAATTAACAAACAAAATATGTCCTCCAAAATGGCTGATATTCTAATGTAGAAATTGGGAAGATATCTAATAGCTCCCAAGAAGACCAGATGGAACTCCTATTTTTAGTCAATAAAATTTATGGACAAGATGCTCTCTGAAAAGTTTTCAGGATTCACAATGTTTAGGCAAGAAGAATGTTTCTTTGTCAAAGAATATGCATCAGTAATACAACTATATTTTTATAATAACTAAAATTTAAATATTAAAGGTTATGGAACCCTTGGCTACATCATTAGAGATCTTGGAACGGGAAGATAACATGGAGCAGGGATATCGAATCCCAGTTCTAACCGTACTTATAGATAAATTAAAGAAATTTAGCTACCTTCGATATTATCAGCCCTTGTAGAGTGTGTTCTTTAGAGGTATTGATAAAAGGTAATAAATTTTTATGCAATTTTTTTTATATTAATAGATATTAGATATCTGCAAAATTTATTAAAAAATTGCCATGATTTGGAAAATTTAGTAAAATATTTTTAACAGGCCTGGTCCACTAAGCCTCTGATATCTGGTAAAATTTTAATGGGCCATAATAGGCATTAAAAATTATTAAATTTAATCAATATTATACAGATGATTGGTCAGGCCTGACTGTAAAATTTGAAAGGGCTAACTTTTACAGATACCTGATTTATATGAATGAACACTTATTTAATTAAATTAATTATCATTTATTAATATAGATTTCCTTCACTATATGATGACAGTAATATATAGCATCTATAATTCACCCAAAGTTTCATTTGGCCTTTTATTAATCTGCCACAAAATTTGTTGCTAAAAGAAAGGTTAATTGCCCATTTAGAAAATATATAGGGTCAACTATATGCGGATCCTTCAAATGAATGCATGGATGAAATCGATACCTTTTTGTGAAAAATTCGTCACAAAATGTTTTTTCCATTAATAATTTTTTTTATTCTAATGATGACTCTGTGAATATTTTTAATAATTATGTTAATTTAAAAAAAAACATTTATTGAATATAACACACCTTTACCATCAAGCGCTTCCGTGGAGCGCTTGTTTAGTAAAGCTAAACATGTACTTAATGAAAAACGTGGTTGTTTAAATGATGATAATTTAGAAAAATTTTAATTAAAGGCGAATTTTAATTATAAATAAATATATTCTAATTGTATACTTATACTATATTATTCAATTACAATAAATTTATACCATATTTAATTAATTTTTATATTAGTTAATTTTGCATCGATCAGAATTAAATAAGAAAAGGATCGTGATCGCGATCCTTTTTTAAAAAAAGGTCGATCGGGAATTTTTTTCAAAAGATCGTGATCGGGATTCGATCCTTTTAAAAGAATCGATTAACAAGCCTGGTATTTCATCAAATCATAAGTAGCTAAAATGGGTTTCATAAATTTTTACTAATATATAAATTTTATGGCGTAAATTAGCCTTCAGAAATCTACACTTTTACTTAAATTGCAAGGTAATAAAAATATCTATCCCCCTATTTCCATCAAATATATAAAGTCATTACAAAAATTTTACAAAAATTATTTAACAATTTTTTTCCCGCAATAATTGGGCCGCGTATAAAACAAAAAAAATTTTCCATCGCCAGCAATGGTGTATTTAGTCTTTGGGTCTGTTACGAGTCGGTTATCGGTCAAATCGCGAAATTTTTAAAATATTTTAAGACAATGTTTTGTTCGTATTTACAAACAAAAATGAATATTTTCAATTGATATTACTAGCAAGTTTGGTCATTCAAATATTTAGTAATTGGTCGGTTTTGAGTACGGCAATCGGTAAAATCAAAATATTTTTAAAATTATATTTAAGATAATGATACACGTATATATAAGCACTGGAAACAAAAATAAAGAGATTTTGATCAATAATGCCAGCAATGTGCTTTACAAGTTTACTATTACTTTTTGTTTCTTAACCTATTCCTAAATAAAATGTCAAAGAAACCTATATATTTTTATTAATTTTTAGGTTTTTCACATGTATACACCCAAATATTAAAAAAGCGCTAACCAATAATCATTCGGGTCTCCTAATGTGATTATTTAATATTTAAGCATTTTACGCCCTCTTATGGATATATATTTGTTAAATTTTAAAATTGCCAAATAAAATTTGAGTAAGCTAGTAAATATA